GTACAATCTTCATTAGCAGTTTCAGACTGTGAACTGAAGGGCAACATCTCTTGATTCTTTGATGCTTACCCTCTCTGATTCATTTACACGTTTGGGCTTGTGGAACTTAACGCCTTCTATGTCGGCCTGGATAAGTTTCTTTACACACTGTCTTTATAGCCTTACGACTGCATGTCTTCGCTTTCACATTATTTTCCTGCGAGATGATGTCATATGCAGCCTGTAGTTGCGACATATTCATTATTTTGATACTCTTCAGTGCAATCTCCGCCATGGTTACAAACTCTATCTTGGCTGCTACTTCACTTGCTTGCTCGAGTTTGTTGTGGTCGAGTGTTTACGAGGCACATTTGTGACATGTTTAGTCCAGCAGTTTTTATGATATTTGATTTCAATTGCATGAGCATCTCTACTGTCAACTGCAGTCGAGAGTTTGACATGTAACTTCTCATCTCCTTCTTTCTTCACGGCAGCATCCAGAGAACTACAGTGAAACCTGTATTAAGCGGACACCCTCTATTAAGCAGACAGTAGCCGAAGTCCCAAAATTTATTTCCCTTATTTACTTTAAATGAAACCTTCATTAAGCGGACACCTCTAGTAAGCGGACGCGGACACCTAAAAAGCACCTGCAAAAAGTCATTTCTATTGTTACCAATCTGTATTAAACGGACACTTGTAATTAAATAATTTCCACCACCCAACATGCCAGACACCAAAAATGCGAAAGATTACCTCGGACTGCCACCCACAACTTATTCGATTGTTACATTAAAAACATGACTTGACGAACTTATTTGATTAGTTTCACAGTGCAGTATTGTTTTCTATTTCGTTTTGTTTGTATAGAGCTTGTTTCACTCATCTGGTTTCTTCAAAATTGAGTTTCAGTCTATGTTTATGGTACTATGATCAATTAGTCCACTTTGATAAAGAAATTAATGCAAACGTATATCATCGAAGTCTCTGGGAGTGTTCTTAACATTTCCACTGTTCATTTGAATGGCATTTGACATCTCATATGTTATCTATCGAGACCTGTTTTAGGCGGACACCCTGTATAAGCGGACACTACAGCATTCCCCGAGGGTATCCGCTTAATACAGGTTTCACTGTACCTGCAGACAATGTACTGATAGTGAGTAGTGGCTGACGATATCCTCCCTCACCTTCACAGAGAAAACACACATCTCGGTTGTATGGCGATGTCTTCGAACGTGTTAGTGGCTGTTTAGCTTCCAGTGACAAATCACATGATTTTCACCTTGCCTCATTCGGACCACACAGTTCTGTTTCATACCTTTCTTTAGCTCTTTTTATCATGCCTGAATGTGTTGTTTCTTGATAACAAGTTCTATGCCTTGATACTAGTTCTTCAAATGGAAAGCCTTTCAAAAAGGACCGCACCTCGGCGAACTTCACATCTCCATAATGAGATCTTTCCTGAATTGCATCGAATAGCTTTTTGTGTGAAACGGGTTTTTCTACAAGTTCTTCGTCTGTGTCTGGCAGATAATGCACAATTTAAAAGTAATGCCTGTATTGCGAAGAAACTCCATAGCCATTCTCGCTACATTCTCTGTAAATAAGGATAGCTGACCTCTATTCTAATTATAACTAATTATAACACGGTCCAGGCCCTCTTCCACGTGTGCACCACAGGAAATCCAATCCTCTGATTTATTTTTTGCTGAAAATAAAGTCACAGCTAAGTTCTGTGGTTGTAGAAAGTTATTAAGTACACCATTCTAAAAACTCTTACCTTATAAACATGTTTGAATGCACAGGTGTTATCTACTAACATACTTTATACCTCATTCTTTTGTAATGTTTTTTGCCCCTCAGTACAGCTTTTGTATCAGCCTCATTTTCATGCGAGCGTGGTCACGTGATAACCCTTACCAAATAATTACATTTGATTGCACAGATGATATTCACCTGCATTACTTTTGTCAATCTCTGCCTTTATCAGGAGAAGTTTAAGTGCTACCAGTGCAGCTTTTGAGAGAGCCTCGTTTTCGTGCTAACTTGGTCACGTGACCCCAATAACCTCTTAAAATCGTATGTTCATATTAGAAACATTGATTTGCACAAATGTGTTGTTTTTGATAAAGTTTTACAGAAATAATGGAAAGCTGTGGACAATTTTATGTTTGAGCCTCGTTTCCATGCTGGGATATACACATGACATTTTCCACCCCATATAAATCCCGTCTGAACAAGTGACAAAGTTGCCACCAAAACTTTTCATGTTATTTAGGGTCCCCTTAACACATTTAGACTAGTGGCTTGCTTTCTTCACGAAATTCCCACGGGACTTTATTTCATGACATTTGCTGCCGGACTATAATGTATCACGATCGGGATACATTTGATTTTAGTCAAGGCCACGTGACCAAGAATCAACCAATGGCAGTCCCTGTTTAGTTGAGTGAAAGTCTAGGAATATATCAAGAGCTATTATACCATGCTCTCAGCTGAAAATTGGTTCTTTTTACAAATAAAGTTGGGAAGAATTCTCGATATTTTCGATATTATTCTACGAGTGCATGTTGGATATGAGATAATTATAGCCTATGCGCACTCGTAGAATAATTGTCAATTATAAATATTGCACATACTAATGCCCCTCCTGGTTTGCTGTTGGCCAAACTAGATGACAAGAATGCTGGATATCTTAGAAGACTTCCTTGAGGGGCACGGTTACAAATATGAAAGAATTGATGGAACGGTCAATGGAGCAGCTAGGCAGGAATGTATTGATAGGTTTAATGGTAAGTACATGTGATGCAGGAGGAAACAGCATTTCAGTAATTTTAATTGGGAAGTAGCTAGGGTGATCTTCAAAACAGTTACTTGTTACCGGGGCTCAGCCGAAGGCTGGCACCGGTCTTAAAATGCAGACCGTCCGTTTTTTCAACGTTACATTGTTAGGGATATATCGCTGACTGAGATATATCGCTGGCTCATTGAAATCTTATCCGCCATTTTGAAAAGAAGAGGCATGGAGGACAGTCAAGAGAAAGATTATAGCTTTTTTGGGGAACGACACGTTCCCCCAACCCAACTAGTTTATGAGCGAAAATTTAAGAGTGAATATTTGGAGAGACAAATTTACGATCACTTCTGAGACTGAACCTTCCATCGTGAAACTTATCGAAAATTGAGTGAACCTTCCATCGTGAAATTTATCGAGAATCAAAGCGAACACTTATCAAAATTTGTCTTCAAAAAGATTTCAATGATTGACATACCGAAGACTTCAAAGCTCCATCGCTATGTTAATAAGGTGAGAAAACTTTATCATGCACGATATAAATGTAATAACAAACGCGATCCAAAGATAATTAACTTAAATAAAATGGCTATACCCAAGAAAGCTTACTTGTTGTCTTTCTTTAGCAGGCATTATCACAGGATAATGAAACTAAAAATAATGTAAAAAGCACGCCGATCTTTGTCATTGTTTTCTTGCAATTGTGTGAGTCATATGACCAATAATGTGAATTTCAAACTAAGTAAAGATGTTGAGAAGAATCCAGGACCTACTCAACACAACACTGATCATCATGAAGTAATAATTAGACCTTCTATGCAAAATCACAGCTCAACATTGGTTGAGGTCACACTAGAGACTTTACTATGGTAAAAAGGGCTTTACTATGGTAAGTCTCAAACGCCTTCTTTACCGTAGTAAACCTGACAGGTCCACTTAAAAAGGCATTTGAAACTTTCCAGGCGTTTTTCTCGTGATCGGTAACGTGAGAGTGAAAAGTAAAACAAATGATGACCTGCTATGGGAGCTGACTAAATTGAAATTACTGAACTGTAACTTCCTGAGCGTGACCCTCACAAGTGTACAAAGATGCTTCAATGTGAGAGAGTATTGTTTTCTGTTGTGAGCATTTTGCTTTTAATTCTGCTGCTCAGACGAGCAAGAAAAAATGCGCCCCCTTATTACCTACCTTGGTTTCAAATAACGGGTTAGTGAAGATGTTTTAGTGACAGATTTATTGATTACTCATCGAAGACGTATTCTTAGAGAAAGAGCGGCATTGCGAAGGCAAGCGTGGGTTTTACCTCGACCCCAGGAATGGTTTGAAGAAATGTACAGAAACAGAAACCTTCAAGCACTGTGGAAAAAGCAATCACCGATGTTCTAACAAAGCTATTCTGTTATGTGACCCTTTTTGAAACTACTTTCCACAAAAATCATGACAAACTGTCAACAAAACAAACAAAGTTTAGATAGACTAGAGATATACCCACCTATTTTTTTTGGTAACCAGATGGTTATCGGTGATGGGTCATCTTTGTTCTTTCTGCGGTAGTCATGGAAATTAACCAGGGTAGAGTTTACCATAGTAAACTGAAAAATGCCGGTCACACTTACGGCGCCGTTTACTATGGTAAACTTGAGTTTACTATAGTAAACTTTCTCTAGTCTCCTATTTCCTCTGAGAATTTGATGCAGTCAAGATTAGGTGCACTTTGTTTACAATCAATAGATGTTGGCGGTGCAGGTGATTGTTTCTTTAGATCTGTATCACATCAATTATATGGCAATAGCAACCATCACATGCATATACGTACTGCTGGGGTTCAATTTATGAGAGACAATCCAGAGAGATTTATTGAGAGCAATACCGAAAATTCATGGATAAGATATCTGAATAATATGTGTATTCAAGGTACATGGGCTGATGCACTTATCATTCAAGCAGTTGCAGATATACTACTGTTTACCCAGTTCAGGAAAGAAATACTTCCTCTACAATAATTACTATAGGCCATATTGATGAATGCCACTATGTATCAACCACTGCCTTACAATCAAGTGCCTCTATTTCAATGTGCAATGAATTAACAAATGATACTCAGTCATCAATAAATAAGCATTTTATTATGTCTGTATATAACACTGGATGACATTTTTTACAGTGCAAGACAACAATCCATGACCACAAAGATCTATTTCAAAAATGTCTTATGTCTGTTATCATTTCAAATTCACAGTGTTTTCGCAAAAAATAGATAAATGTGATTAATAAATCTCAATGATAAACCTGATGATAACGTACTTGAGAAAATGTGAAATTGTGATAATTCTGTAACAAACTTCTTTGCAAACTTTGTCATTACCATTCAACCCAAAACTGTCAGTGATTTTTTCACTCAACCTTAAAAACAAATGAAAACCTTATACAGATCACACTTATTGACATCACAGTGTTACTAAAAACACTACTATAACACAGACCGTTAGCTGTAATAACACTGAACAAACTTCCAACAACATCCTCCTTTCTCATGCAGTTTGTTGCTTTTCTTCTGCATGAGTTAATTCAGACTAAGTATTAGCCTCCACAGAGGAGGGGGAAGGGGTGCGAGAGGTAAACTATATCTATGCAATCCCGTGTCCCACTGGGCCCCGGTAAGTTCCACGTAGTGGTTCTAGTTTATCTTAATCTTCAGCTATAGTTCATTCTGCTACTGTTAAAACTGTATTTTCGCGAAAGAAATATTTACTGTTGAAAATGTGCTTTTCTGCTGACTGTCCTCTGACCAAAATGCCAGAACTATGGTATAAGATGGTGCGAATCAATGACAGGCTTTTACTTTAGATTTTGTGAGTGTATTGTATTTAGTGCTCCTGTTTTTCTAAAACTAAGCTTCTAGTGACGGGCAAATTTGTACCCTTTCGTGGTGGTTATCTGATAAATAATACAAAAAATTGAAATTATCCTCATTTCATTAAAATCCGGACCATGGATAAATCCTGACCTTATATGAACCCTGTAAAAGGAACATGAATCCCCAGATGCTTTTTATAGGTTAGCAAAATGAAAACAAAACCAATAGAACCCCTTAGCTGTTCAATTACTACCTACTACTACTAATTGAATACCCCTTGAAACTTGAAATCTTACTGACAGCCCTGCATTACAGTTATTGAAATGTTTTATAAATATTGTTTTTGATGCTAATCAGAGCTGTGTTTTTCTTACCTTTTCTTTTTCTGTTTGTTTGTTTGAAGCTGCTGGTGCACAGACGTTTTGTTTCTTGCTTTCTACTCGTGCTGGAGGTCTGGGCATCAATTTAGCCACAGCTGACACTGTGTTTATATATGACTCAGACTGGAATCCTCACAATGACATCCAGGTATACAATGTACATAAATAATGATATTGACATGAAAAATTGTATTTTGGCCAATCCAATAGTTCAGAAAATTTGGTATGTTAGTAGACCTCCTTATACTTGGGTTTTCTGTTAACAGTTACAAAGCTGTGACCTGCTTCACCCTGGAGTAGAAAAAGAAATTACAAGATTTTTTTATCCTTTAGAGCGTACGTAGCAACTTAAAAATAAGCCAACCTAATAAGATGTCGTACATGTGTGTTGCTTTTCTTCCCTTCTTGTCTTTCCTCACAGGCGTTCAGCAGAGCTCATAGAATTGGTCAAAACAATAAGGTATTTAATTAAAAAAGTGGTGCTCTTCAGTGCCTTGTGTATTATTTTATTGTATAAAGTCTTCATTTATCCTAGTTAGTTCAGTTGGATAAGGACCTGGGGCCTGTTTCTCGAAAGTCTTGATAGTTACGGGGCCCAGAAAGCTGTTGTTGTGTACATTCAAGATTTTCTAAATTGTAAATTGTAAACTGTAATTTGTTTACCCACGAAGGGCTAAGGAGTTCATAAGAACTCGTTGAAACGTGTCGGTGCGTTCCAGATCGAATTGGAAATTGAAAGTGTTGGTTTTTAAGGAGAGGGGAAAACCGGAGTACCCGGGGAAAAACTTCTCGGAGGAAGGGAGAGAACCAAGATAGAGGTTTCGGTACTTTTGCAGACAGTGTAATAAAATTATCAGTTAAGAAAACAAAATAGACGGGTTTGTTGGCTAGGACTCGCGCGATTTTATTCTTTACATTTTTATTTGAATATTTGATTTCGAGCCTGGAAAGTTACTGGGACTTTCGAGAAATGGGCCCAGTCCTCCAAGCAGGAGGTCATGGGTTCAAACCCAGGCCAGAACATCAAACAATCTTTGATTTCAGACCTTAGCGTGTCTGTTAATATATAATGTACAGTAAGAGAACACGTCTGATGTTCTCTCGTCCGTAACTCATCATTCATTTCATGCATTCATTCATTCTTTCATCCATTCATTTCATTTCGTCCCATTCATTCGTGTTGTTCTGTACAGTTTAGCCCTGTATTCAGAGACTCTTCTTAATTCACCCTCCAGTGCACTTGAGAGAGGCGTCATTGTCTTCAGACTTTTTATGTCCCCCTCATGGAGCGTCAGTTAAGACATTACTTTTCAGTACATGTAGAATATCAAAATTACATTATGAGTCTCCGTCTTCTTGTTAGGTTATGATCTATCGCTTTGTTACAAGGGCCAGTGTGGAAGAACGGATCACACAGGTACGTAGTGCTGTACATTATAACAAGTGTAAGGGAAAATATTTATTTTAAGCGACTAAACAAAGTATAGTCAGTTCCTGCTATTGCAGACACAATCTAAACAATAATTGTTTGGATTCTTACTACACATTAATGGAACACGTTTATGGCTCCTTCCTTGGTGGTTTTTATTTGGAGGTGTGCCGGTGCAGTCTTTCCCTGTTAGCAGAGGTATCGTGAGAGACCTCTGCTAGCAGGGAAGTGCAGTCTCTGATGATGCTGATAATTGTGCCACAGCTTCTAATATTAACTATATAAAATATCGGGCAAAATAAATGATAATAAGCATAATCTGCATGTTTTAGGGTTTTTTAAGGAAACGATATGGTTGGAATGACCTAAATTGGAAAAAACATGAGAAATTCCTTCCAAATCAAGGAAAGGGTTGCAGTGAATGAACATTCAATCCAATATTGCTTTGTTCACCCGAGCTCAATTGCCTATATCAGAACCTTATCAAAGTACAGTGCTCAGTTGAAACAAAACATTGAAGAATGGCTACTTTTGTGTATAGTTGCATCTCAGTTCTGAAAATTTTGTGTTAAAAAATTGTAATTATTTGATTGTTGTTTATTGAGAAACCTGAATCTCGACTAATTTACTTCCCCTATCAGTGTGAAACAAACAACTTCTTTAAAAGCCCCTTTTTTGTTGTAGATGTATAATATGACCCCTTAAGCTTTGATGACTTTGATCTTTGCTTGAAAGGTTGCCAAGAAGAAGATGATGCTGACTCATCTTGTGGTTAGACCCGGCTTGGGATCCAGCAAAACTGCTGTCATGTCTAAGAGTGAGCTCAATGATATTCTCAAATTTGGAACACAAGAGCTCTTCAAGGATGACAATGCTAAAGATGGAGGTTAGTCTTCTACTGACACACCTTTCTTTAGTGAATCAAATCATTCCTGACACTACCTTAAGTCAGGGGCACCCAATGACTGTTTTCTGTGAAATATCTGTTCGGAGAAGCAACAATTGCCTAGAATTTTCTATAGCTTAAGGAAGGCTAAAACTGAACTAAGATGACTAAAACTAAACTAAGATGACCATTCATGTACAATTTTCGAAGCTTATCTAGTAATATCTTTTTTTAACTTACTGAAAAGCAAGTGCTGGTACGTGGAAGACGTATGACTTTGCAGACGCTATTGATAACTCCTAATTTAATGGTTTATAACTGGTGACAAGATATGTATCAGTTGGTGAAAGGAACTGAAGTCTAGACTATCAGTAGTTTTTTTGTTTTCCATGGGGTGGCAAATGGAGTAAAACATGAGTGAGCCATCTTCCACGCCCTGCCATGTTTTTCTGCTGCTAAGAAAAAAAATTGGAAAAAACAGGATAGCGAGACCATATTTCTTAAGCTGGCCGAAATGTACATTCTAAATCGATTTTCTTTTATTGTCAGACTCGGGTGACTCAGGCCGCATAGATTATGATGAAAAAGCCATCATGTCACTGTTGGACCGTACCAGTAGCCATGATGATGCTCCTGATGAAGAGAAAGACATGTTGGCTAATGAATACCTCGCTTCTTTCAAGGTAAGACTCAGGCCCTGTTTATATGGAGAAAAGTTGTACAAGGTGGAAGGGTCACTTGCCTACCCTAGCTACCCTGGGCAAGCCTGGTTCTCATATGCCGCCGTTGTATCTGCAACGTAGCTGCAGGTACCACCTGGGCTACTTCTTGGACAAATAAGAACATGCGCTGCCTGCAACTAGAGCCATCACAAAGTTTTACCGCTGGCATGCCTGCGAAAATGAACTCGAGTCAGCTTCGCAGGCATGCCTGGGGTAAAGAATGGGATGACCGATGTTGCTGGCTACTTCTGTTCTCATATCAGAACAGTATCCCAGGCAGTACCGGCAGCCATGTTGCAGGTGCATCAGTGGCATATAAGAACCGGGCTTGCAAAAAAAAAGTGGGCAGGGAATCAAACAGATAGGGATTTCTGTTAGTTTTATGTGTCGTCCTTTTTCCAATAGTTGAATAGCAGAGCCAGCTTTTTGGCTAAAGCATGTCAAAAGAGAAGGAACAGGATGACAGCATTTTGTTGCTGTGGCCTGTTGATGACTTCTCTCACTTTAGGTGGTTGTAATCTGCATATATACAGACCACTTCGATGACATGCAATATTAAACATGAGTGAGCAGGGCCTGGAGCCTTAGCATTAGGCTACTGGAGTAGTATATCACTCAGACATGATAATGTCTCCCTCCATGATAGTAGTGAATTATTCCCAGCACTGTAGTCAAGTCTTACTGATTTTGCATTTAGACATGCATACAGAATAGTGAACACGTTTTGCCTTTAGAATTACTGTTAGACTTTGTGGTAATATACGCTCAAACATTTTCACAGTGATATGGATTATACTAATTGATCCTTTCTCCGCTAATAGTGACTAGAGAAATAAGTTCACCCCTGCCCCCACCCCTCCTCAAAAAATATTCATTTCTAAAGTTCTTAGAGATAAATAGCGCTGCGCGAACGTCTGCCAGAGAGGTTTCAATTGGGCGGTAACACCATAGGATTTCATTAGAGATTTAAAAGATACAATGACTAATAACCTAGCCACACCAAAGTCTGGAAACATTCAAGTGATAAAAAATACCAACTTGGATAGTGATACCGTATCATTCAGTTTGCGCTTATCAGTTTGTGGTTTGTGTGTGAACCTTTCTAAAAGCCATTGATTTACAAGTGTTTTTAATTAACGAATGTGCAAGCTTATGCCATCCAAGTTTTGTTTAGTTATTATTTTCAGTATATCCTGTTAACACTTTGGTGTTTGTGGCTTTCTTTGCAGGTCGCAAGCTATGTAGTGAAGCAGAAAGATGATGATGTAGAAGTTCTCAAGGTAGCAAAAAAAATCGCCATCTTCTTTACGGCTTAAATAGTTGATTAACGTCTTTCGCGATGATTTACATTCCGCAAAAAACAGTTCTCAACTTTTCACTTCTTCTGTGGTATTTTCCCGAACGAATCCGAGCATGTACCCACAAGCTGGACCTTTTCCATGTTATTATTTTTCCTTTATGTTCATCTTAATTTACCTCTCAGTATCGATTTGGATAGAAAATTCTTTTGTTGTTTGAACTTGCTAGCGAGGCTTGGAGTCAATTATCATGAGCATTAATAACAAGAAACATGAAAAAGTTCTATTCTACTGCTATTCTTTATGAACAGCAAGATGCAGAGAAAGCAGACCCTGACTACTGGGAGAAACTTTTACGCCATCATTACGAACAGTTCCAAGAAGACGAGGCGCGACATCTTGGAAAGGGAAAAAGAATCAGAAAACAGGTAACTGTAACTTTACTTAAATTGTAGGATCAAAATTTAACTTCTCATTTCCTCTAGAAGTGGTGGGGAGAAGTTTTTAAAGTGCCAGTTAAATTGATCTTGTGTGATCACGTCCTTAATTCTCGCAACCACTCTGTATTATAAAGTATTTATATTATGAGAAATTTGATGATGAACACTTCTAGAGCCTAAAGGCAGGCTCTGATCTGAAAGGAAACAGGACACATAAATAACTCTTACATAATAGTCGAAGCATGAGCACTTCCCGACACAAATTAAATTTTTATTTTTGACTATTGAACAACTTGGTGTGATTTTTCCTTCGGGGCGGTGTAGTCACTGGATTGCAGTGATCTTCTTTTTCACTGATAGAAAGTTTTCTCGCCTGGAATGGCGCCCGGTTTCTAGTAAATATTGTCTGGTGATGGTGATGATGTTCAAAGCGCAACATGACGTGTCACAATTAATATTTCCAAAAAAACCGGCCTGTTCATCGATTCATATGATTGGTTCGATCCGCTGAAAAAGAGTGTAGCCATCTTTACGATAACGTTTAAGCCATCTTGAAGAGAACTGACAATGTTCGCTGTGCTCGCTAAACGTTTACTAACCGATTGTTGCGATTACATGGAAACCAGTTGAAATTTGGGTATTTAGAAGGCTACGTACAAGCTAAAGGCGGTTATTGAAAAAAAAAATTACGTGTAAGTATGGTCACTGATCTCTAAACTGCTTCTGTGTGTATCCCCAGGTGAGCTATGTTGATGGAGGCGTGGAAGATCAGGAAGAATCAGGTAATTTGGCTTTTTGCATCCATAAACTGTTTGGGGAGGGCTAATCGAGTGGTTACTACTGCACTACGCTCCTTAACCCCTGCTCAGTCTGCGATTCATTTGAAATACATTCAAGTCCCTTAACGGTGCACTCGTCTTGAGGACACCTGGCTATAACGGACACTCTGATGATACGGGTAGGAGCGAAATCCCCGAGAAAAAAAGTGAGAATTACCGACTTCTGAAATGAACTCTCGGCCGCTACTACAAACTCTCGGTAGCGAGAACACTTACTCGCTCACTAACCCATTAAAGGCCGTTAACTGGTTTTACGTTAACCTGCGTTCGAAAGGGAAAGGGAAGAAAATGTGGGCGCGAGACCCCGCGCGAGGAAGAGCTCCTTCCTCGGGCGCCCCGCACGCTTCCCTCGCGCCCAAAATACTTTCCTTAGTTTCGAAATCATCATCACAAATTACCAGAGACAAAAGCAAATGATCACGAGCTTTATAACATAGCGCGCGTGTTTGCCTGCCTCCCCACCCCTCCCTAAGCTAACATTAACCCTCACCTCCCACTTGGGGCAAAATGTTGGCTTAGGGGAGGAGTAGGTGGGCAGTTTCCCAGAAACGTATAATGATCCATATAGGGTCAAAATCTTTATTTACGCTCGGGCGTGCGTAAATAAGATGACGTATGGAGACGTCTATAAAATTCAAGAAGCTAGAGTTGCGCTTCTATCGTGCTCTCCAAACTTCCCACGTGCATCCATAACTCGATATACGCACGCTAAGCATGAACAAATTCTTAATTAAACCAAGTTGAAATTGATCCACAATATTTACGCCTGCATTTTAAGGGCAAAAGTGGAACGGGGTATTTACTGGAAAAAATAACCATTCAATATCCTTTAGGAAAATCAAGTTATTTTGGACATAACCACTGAAAAAAGGTGTCTTGTTTAAGTAGCTATTCTTTTTATGCGGACCGAAGATATCAGTAAGTTGTTACAGAGTGCATGGTATCTAATGTAGACTGATTGTGTTTACAGCATGGACTAATAACTTGTCGGACTATGAAGATGACGGTTACAGTGACGTTGATGAAGAGGAATCAGATGAGGAGTTCAATCAAAAGGCAGAAGGTATAAGTAACAGTTGCAGCCGGATCGTAAATTATCTGGCTCCTGCAATAAGCTTGGTAAAGATATCGCTGGTGTAGTTGATGTGTAAAGACTGCATGACTTTCAGGTGTCTGGATATGTCTAAGTTCGCGAAAGGTTTATGGTTATCAAGATCCGATACTGACTCGGACCTTAACTCAGACCTCCTTTACCAGAGTTGGGCCCAGGCCAAACGTCAAACGTTTCATGAGACGAACCAAACTTAGTGAGCTGAGCTCATGAAAAGTTCGACGTTTGTCTCAGTTAAGTTCGTATTAATGAGTTTGGATCTTCCAACACGTTGTATCCTTCTGAAGATCGTCTCCGGGACAAACGTCGATCTTTACATGCGACGATCTAAACTAGTAAATTAAAAATATGTATAAATAATGTATATTTAGCCTCGTTCGGGAGAAAATTTATTACTGATCTGATTCAGTTGATTGGTTGGACGCGTCCTACATGTAAGTCCGACTTCTGACCCAACGGACGATCTTAAGTTTATTTAGGTCGACCCAAATTAGAGCTTGGTTCGTCTCATGAAAAGTTCGGCGTTTGTCCTAGGCCCTTATTTCCTTTGTTCTGTCTCAAGAATTATGAGTACGTTTGCCGCCATTTTAGCTGTACAAAATTTCTGAACTGAGTTACCGCATCGGAAGGAATAACTAAACTGGGCACCGTAGAAAGATTTCTTGGAACATAAATGTACTTGAAAACCTTTATAAAAAAGATTTTATAAAGGTGCATCGATAGCTGCCGATAATGTTTGTAATAATTATTTTTTTGTTTTCTTTTAATGGCAGGTCGTCAGCGGAGAGGTACTCGATCTGCTACTGACAGGGAAATCACTCCTCCTATGCTGGCTAAAGTGCATGGCAACTTGGAGGTATGTTACTTAATTTAACATATTCAAAAATGTTACTCGACAAGATCTGTGGACCCTTAGAACAGAGTTGAGGTCACTCGGCACTATTTGTGAAAGGAACTTATGTGTGTACTGAACTTGTCAGTGGGATTTGAGTAACGATTTTGAAAGGTAAATCAATTTTACTCCAGATAACTTACTTTGACAAAGTTGTACATTTTCGGTCTTTTCCTCGTAGTTTAGGCAACTAATGGCTAAGCGTCAGTTACAGTCTATCGAGTTTGAGTGTTTCAGTTAATGAGGAAAAAAGTAAACTATTTATACGCCCCTTCAAGACTGTTTAGGTTCCGTTGAAGTGAACTGAAAGTTTAAAGTGTATTTTATTATGTTATCCAGGTTTTTGGTTTCAACTTGCGACAGCGTAAATCGTTCCTGAATGCGGTGATGAGGTATGGTCTGCCTTCTCCTGAAGGGTCTCGTCGATCACAATGGTAAGATTGATGCCTTGTTGTAAAGAACTTCTTCTGTAAAAGTAGACCTTTTTCAGGTCATTTGTTTCAGCATACGTTGTAATTATAACGAAAGGTTAGGAAGTGCGTGCGAGGTCAAAAGTCAAAGCATTCTTGCTCCAACACTGTAAGCTTTGCGTTCTATGCATTCAAATGGGCCATTTATTCTCAGTGGAAGTCCAAACGATTGCTGGCTACATACGTGTTGGGCATACGTAATAGCAACCTGGTGGTAAGGACTGCGGGCTCCCCTAGTAGTCCGCAATGGTATTAACATTGAAATTTGTTTAATAGATTTGAGCTTGAAAACTTTGAGAGAATTCATTTCCCTCTGACTTCCCGGTTACACTATTCCGTTCTAGGTTCGCAAGAGACCTCCGGGGGAAATCCGAGAAAGCCTTCCAGTAAGTAATTGATATATGGTAACTTTACGTGTAAAATATTTTCCTCATCATGAATACAGCTAAGTTTTAGTTTGAACGTAAAAATTGTTTTTGGAAATTTCCACATAATTCAACAAACTTATCATTTGAGCGAGGTTTCGGTCCATACCCTGTTGGTTTTCTAAGAAGCACTTTGCTGTATTGGAATTGATTAGGTGAAGTTGCGTTTAGGAAGGCTCTCGGAAGATTATCTTTTTCCTTGAGAGGAAACCATGGTGATATCTTTCACCCACCTGCATCACTCTGTGCTTTTCCGCATTTCCTTTGTTTCCTCCGTGATGTTAAAACACATTATATGACTACTTGTTGCTAGAACATCTGCCTCCATGCTGGTTATGTTTCATCACATATCAAATACATTACGGTCAACAGAGTTGAAAATAGCGACACCTTGTGGAGTATTTTTGATGAGGTTGGAAAGGTTTGATGTTGTGAAAAAACATTTCAAGGTAACGAGATGTAAATTGCTTTTGA